ATCCTAATATATATGTATATAAATATTTCATCTATATATAATGTCCTCAGTGACTTACACGTCTATAAACGCACAGCCCAAACGCCTAAACATAGACATCTAAAATTTGGACAGTAGCTGCCTTTTATAACCTAGGCAGGCAAAAATAAAGGATTTTGAAAAATTCAAATCCTAAGCAGTGAAATTACAATAGATAGAATTTGGGTTTAGTAATTTTTCTTATAAGGCTAGGGGATTAAGTATTCAAATTTGTATAGAGAAAAAAAAAATTTTTTGTATTAAAAAGGGCAAATACTCTAGAATAAATGTATTAATATATACATTTTTGTCCGCAAAGCTTGTATGAAACATATTGTTTTTAGACGCACATTGGTACAGTGGACACCACTGTACTGTTTGTAGAAGCGTGAAATTGGGAATATTGATTCCTTTAAACCCTTAAGGGATAAAATAGGGTGTTACAGTTTATACCACACTTTTAATTTTACCGGAAAATTTCATATTTTCATAGAGAAATTATATAAAGTAGTTTTTGTTACTTGTGAATTGGCGCAAAATCTTTTGGATTATATAATAAATTACATAAAAGTAAAAAAGTAAAGTTACAGCCCATATACGTCCCACTGCTGGGAAATGGCCTCCCCTCATTTCTGAGATGGTTTTAGGGCAAGGAAGTGACCGGCGTGCAACCTCAATGCGCGTTGGCGAACTTCATATGTCTTCGAAATATTGTTTTTCTTATTCCGCAGACATGCAGGTTTACTCATATGTTTTCTTTTATTGCCGAGATCGTGTTAAATCAGCACTTAAAATTGCAATTAACAATTTCAATGGTGCCCACGGGGATCGATTGGAACCCGGGTTACTCGTCTTCTATTATATAAAATACGTATTTTTAAATTTTCCGAAAATTTTACCGTAATGTGATGTTAAAGGTTTTTCAACTTGAAATGTGTGATGAGATGCCATTAAAACCAAATTCGGATAGATATAAATCTCTTAAGAGTCTCCAAAGAACACAAATTCGCTAACTTAGTCTTCTCATCATTTCATTTTTCACTGTCATTTAGAGATTTTTAACGGAATGTGAGAATGCACAATAGGTGTCTTCTAATAAGACTGTGTCGCTTTAAAATACTTATAATATATTCTTGCTAAGCGTAACTAAACCAACGCAATATTCGTAATGATGAAACACCAAAACCAAAACGACATCACACGACAACAACTAAAACTCATTCGAACAGTGCTTCTTTAAATATTAATGACGCCATATGTAAATTTCACCCATGCAAAGCCGGGCGGGTTAATGGCATTAATTTTCCTGAACCAGTAGTAATAGCATAGTTGACTTTTAATAATTATTCTTGTAATCTCATGTATAAAACATTAATTTAACACTATCTCCTCAAAATATTTACTACATTCGTACAAATTTTGTTTATAAATTTTTAGTGTGGATATACTTGTGTCTAAATATTAATTAAAGTTCTGAAAATTGCATTATATCAGTAAAAGGAAATGGAATTTTTTCATTATAATAAAATTAATCGAAGTGAAAAGAGAAAGTGCCATGTAGTCGCGGTTGAGAATATCCACTACCCCATATCTTCCCATGGGTGTCATAAGAGGCGACAGAGGTAGACAGGCAGGAGATGGGCAGCAGCATCTTCCTTATAACAACAATAATATAATAAAAAAACTGCGGTTGCCAACCCACTCGCATAGCGTGGCAACTATGGCAAATATCCCCTCTTGAGCAACGACTCAAACAAACGGCCCCCAGGCCCCGGCAGTCCCGCTATGGCTAAGCCGTCGCCTGGCTACGGTGACAACCATGATAAAGGCGGGGCAGGGGATGCTGAGAATCTCCGGTGGAGGTTCGGTTGCCACCTACGATGACTCGACCTGCCAACATATAACGCACGCACCCTGAGGGCTGACGAGAAGATCCTGGAGCTGGAACAAGAGGTAGACAAGTTGCGTTGGCATATTATTTGATTATCCGAGTTCCGAAGAGAGGGGGAGGCACGGTAATCCTTGAGTCCGGCAACTTGTTCTATTACCGGGAGGGCTACCATCTGTCCCAAGGAGGTGTCGGATTTATCGTCCGCAAGTCTCTCGTCAACAACGTTGTAAACGTTGGGGGTATATCGACGACGGTTGCCTACCTTATACTCAGAATCACCAAACGGTATTCGCTGAAAGTCGTACAGATTTACGCACCAACGTCGGAACATCCCAATAAAGAGGTGAAGGATATAAAAGAAAAGTTACAGCCTATACACGTCCCACTGCTGGGCACAGCCCTCCCCTCATTTCTGAGAGGGTTTTAGGGCAAGGAAGTGTCCACCGCGCTACGCCGAGGATATGCATGAGCATATTTCTAGAGCCACGCATTCCTAAAAAACTCACTATACGGTATTAATGAAAGACTTCAACGCAAAACTAGGCACAATAAAGAACGGTGAGCTGAAGGTGGGGAAATTTGAGATAGGGCAACGGAACCCAAGGAGCCAGTACCCTGCCGACTTCATGGAGAAAGAGGAACTCTTTATGATGAACTCTTTCTTCCAGAAGCGGCCTTAGAAAAAGTGGACCTGGTCGAACTCCGACGTTTCGACAAACAATGAGCTTAACTTCATTATGACGACTAGAAGGCAACTGCTCAGTGATGTCCCAGTGATCGCAAGGGTGAAAATTGGCAGCGATCACCGAATGGTTAGTGGCACACTGAACATAAGTGTTAAGTTAGAGAGGTCTCGTCTAATAAAGTCAATGCTCCGTCCCCCTTGTGCACTAATCCAAAATCCCAAAACCTTTCAGCACGAATTACAAAACTGCTTTCAGTGCCTAGAAGATTGCAATGCAATGGACGATATGAACGTTAAGTTCGTGGAAACTGTCTATGTGGTCGGAGCTAAGTTCTGCAAGACCCGCCGCAGAAGAACACAAAAACTCTCCAAATACACTCTTAATCTCATGGCTCTTAGACGAGAGATGAAGTTGCAGTCGTCAGCAGATATGATAGCATACAGGCAACTAAACAGACAGATCTCCAAAAGCATGCGGCAGGACTTACGCAACTTCATACAGCTACGTATTGAAGAAGTGATTGAGCGAAATCAAGGCTCCAAAGTTTTTACCAGAGATCTGTCTGCCAGTAAGAGTCAACTGTCAAAGCTGAGGAATGAGTGTGCAGCATCGTTTCCGGGACACCTGAGATTTTGAGATTGAGAGGTTCTGTGGGTAGCAGTATACATCCATCATTATGTTGGAGCCACACGCAAGTGTGAGTATTGATCCAAGGGCAAGTCTAATCCGACACTATTCCGATGATATCCCGGACGTCAGACTGAGCAAGATTAGAATGACTCTTCAGCACCTAAAAAACGGCAAGTACATGGGCGAGGATGGAATTACAGCGGAGCTTCTGAAAATGGGTGGAAAACCAATACTTGAAGTGTTTCAGAAGCTCTTTAATTCCGTCCTCCATGGAGGAACTACCCCAGAGGCGTGGTGCAGAAGTGCGTCAGAAGTGCGTGGTCTTCAAGAAAAGTAACATCGTCCTCTTGAAGAACTACAGACTGATATCCCTTCTGCGTCGCATCTTCTTGCTATTTTCGAGAGTCATTACGAATCGTCTCGCACGCAGACTCGACGACTTCCAGCCTCCCAAATAAGCTGTTTTCGAAAACGCTTTAGTACCATAGACCACATACATACCATTTGGCAAATTGTACAGAAGTCCGAAGAGTATAATCCGCCACTTTGCCTGGCGTGTGTAGACTATAATAAAATCTTTGATTACGTCGGTGTCAAGTTGACTGTCAGTAAATCGAAGTGCTGAAATGTATGTACAGTAGAGCTACAATGGCTATCCGAGTACAGAACCAGAGAACGATACCTATCCAACTGCTGAGAGGTGTAAGACAGCGTGATGTTATATCCCCGAAACTCTTCACCGCTGCATTGGAAGAAGTTTTCAAGCTACTGGACTGGAAAGTATACGGTATTAACATCAATGGCAAGTACACCACTCACCTTCGATTTGCCGATGATACAGTCATTATGGCAGAATCTCTGAAGGACTTAAGCACTATGCTCAATAATCTCAACAGCGCCTCCCAACGGATAGGTCTTAAGATGAATATAGACAAAACAAAGATCATGTTTAATCTATCATCAATCAATCCTTCACCACAATCAATCAATCAATCCATGTCACACCTATGCCCGTAGTAGTTGGGAGCATTAAGCTCAAAGTTGTTGACGAATACGTTTATTTGGAACAAATAGTCCGACTATGTTAGTCCAACTTGAACTGGAAACTTGACGGATTCAACGCGGCTGAGCAGCGTTCGGGAAATTACGACACATCTTCTCGTCAGGTATACCCCAAAACCTGAAAATTAAATTGTACAACCAGTGCGTGTTGCCAGTGATGACCTTTGGAACAGTGACGTGGTTCTTCACCACTACTGGCCGTATGAGGACGCTCAAAGTCGCTCAGCGAGCTATGGAGAGGACTATGCTCGGGGTGTCTCTGCGTGATATACTTAGAAATGAGGATATCCGCAGTAGAACCAGAGTGACCGACATAGCCCAACGCATAAGTAAGCTAAAGTGGCAATGGGCCGGCCATATAGCTCGAAAAACCGACAAACGTTGGGGAAAAAAGGTTGTCAAGTGGTAGCCTCGCACCGGTAGATGAAATTTAGGGCGACCCCCACTAGATGGAGTAACGATCTGGTAAGATATGCAGGAAGTCGATGGATGTAGATGGCTCAGGACCGTGCATTGTGGCGTACCTTGGGGGAGGTTTTTGTTCAGCCGTGGACTTGTGAATGATTATGATGATGATCAGAGAATCCGATCATTTCCTGTGTGTTTTATTCACAAAGGTTTAAATGGAATATACTTTCATAAAACACATGTCAACGTTCAAAATGGAAACAACAAATCTTTAAAACAAAATAATTGTACAAGTTATAATTTACCTTCATATTGCAACGGGCGGTGGTGTTTCCTTCTTGCAACTAAAGCAATTATTGCAATTGCAATAAGTGTTCCAACTATTCCCGCAACAATACCCAGCGCCCAACCACTATCCACGTTGGTGCTTCCTGTATTAGCTTCTGATAAAAATAAAATTATTAGTGAATTAGTTTGAAGTGAATTCTTACCAAAAACTCACTTCTATATTATAAAAAGTAAAAGATTAGATTAAAATGTATAGGATGTGGAATTATTAATCTCTATTTATTATCTGCGTTCATACACGCTTAACAGCATATTATAAGTCAAAGAGAGAAAACCCTTCTATAGAAAAAAGTTATTTTTACGGGCCACATCAATATTTCAATAACTTCGTAGTACTTAGTCAGCCAGTCGTAGTCAGTCGTACAAAATAAAAAAACGACGCCTCCAAACATGCAACTAGATATCTGATGATGAACCTTATTTCAAACATGACAATAACTTCTGTTTACTTTTAGAATCTATCAACTGCATCTGCTGAGTTATTACTAATTCATATTCGACGTAACCCGTAAACAGTTTAAAAGATTCAATAATACAATCGTGTTAAAGATACGTTTACACAGACATTACGGTTTGACAAAAAACCCAACAATATTTGGCATTTTGTTGACTCTGACTGAGACTCATGACCCTAGTGAATAAACTTTTCTGACCACTCTAGATGTCTCAAAAGCACTTGCTGATCATAAGGTTCTGGGTTTTAATCCTAAGCCAGGCCGAAATCAGTTTTTGAGTTTTTCTACAAAAACATTTTAGTAGCAGACCAGGAATTTGGCGGCATTTCATCCCCGTGCTACGGAAAGCACGTAAAGCCGTAGGTCTTGCACCTGGCCTCCTTCCGATCAACTCACATTACCTCCCCATCAAAATAGGAGGAATAAAGAGTGCATTTATACTTGAGCACATACTTAGACGCTATAATTCTTTCCTGTGCAAATAGAACTAGAATAAAATAAGCAGTCTTTATAGTATGCTATAATAGTATACATAACAATATTTATCTCTTTATTCTTAACTTACCGGTTTGTAAAGCTAGTCTTGAAAGTGTATGCACTCTCAATGTTGTAATTTCTGATCTTCCACGTGCATTGCTTGCGTAAAATATAAGCTCTAATGCTTTTCCAGAGCCAAGTCCACGAAGTTTCCACACAGGCGTAGCAGTTGACACGTTGGCTATCAACGTATCCGTCTCCCAAACTTCAACAATATAGGTAGTTTGAAGGCCACCGTCGTAGCCTTAAAACCAATATTTCTTTATGAATAATTATTGCTGTTACGTTTCTGTTCTGAGCAAGAATATTTTATATAAGAAACTTTTAAAATATTGATTTCTCATGTTAGTTTTGGTAACAGTAATAAGAAACATACGTATGTTACGAGCTTGAGGTTCGTGACAATAAAAATTGGCCGATAAAATTACCTAAATTAACACTTTAATTTACTTTACACAAATTAAAGTTAAAAATACTAATAATTAAACACACTTATTCATTATCCGCAATCGCTTGTTTCGCCAAATCAACACTACCCGATCGCATCTTGCAGCGCCTACTTATATAAAATAGCAAAATATCCAGAATGTTCAAGTAAACACGCGCAAGGTACCGAGAGTTCGAGTTTTAAACTTCAAGAAGTTTAGTTCTTTGGTTCGAGACTAGATGGCGCTAGTGCGCCGATTTTAGCGCGTAACACTGCCCCCTTCTAAGACATGCTCGTCCCGAGCATTATCGGTCCCATAATAACGCGCTAGGCGATCCACATGGACGATCTTAGGAGTCCCTCTTGCGCCTTTCTGAAACGGCTCCGCAATGTCAAGGGCTGTTCTATCCCGTGGTGCACCAACATTGTACAATTTCGGTGCTCCTCTACTACGTGTCTGAGGTCCCCGCACAGCCGCACAACTTGTACATGTACGACACCAATCCTCGACATCGTCACGATAATGGACCCAGTAAAACTGTTCTCGGACCTTCAGTAGAGTTCATTTAACTCCCAGATGGACTCTTGAACGACCATTATGGCACAGCTGTAGAACATTCGGCACTTTAGCTTTAGGGACAACCATTTGCAAACGACAGCTGTCCCTTCGACCATTGTCCCATTTACGGCACAGGACTCCATCCTGAATCAGCAAGCTGTCCCATTGGGCCCAATAGCTTTTCGTGGTTGAACTCATCGCTGAGACGTCCCTCCACTTAGGCTTGGTAGCACGGGCCTTCATCCATCCCAGAATCGGCTTGATGTCCGGATCTTCCTGCTGTGCATGTCCTAGGCTGTCCTTCCACCCGTTGCTGAGGTGGTCTGTCCTGAGCATCCTCACGGATACCACTTCCTTACTCTCTTGCCTACTACAATGGTTACAATCTTCAGGACAAGGTCTTCTTGTCAATGCATCTGCGTTGCCGTGAGATTTCCCCCTGCAGTGTCTGATAGTAAAGTCGTATTCCTGGTGCTGCCTGGCTGTGCTGTTAGCCGCACTTCCTTTCTGAGACCGTTCACCTTCCCCTTCCTAGGGTGTGCTTAGGGCAGCTGGACCGAAGATGGCCCCTTTCCCCACAGCCATAGCACCTAGGGCTGTATCTTTTATTGTGGTCGCGAACCGTAACTGCTGTAACCTCCCTAGCGTGAGGTGAACGATGATCCTGTCGCCGCCAGGCAGTGCCGTTAGCTGTACTACCCTCTCGAGATCGATCAACTCTCCCTTTCCAGGGTTCGCTTAGGGCAGCTGGATCGAAGATGGCCCTTTTCCCCACAGCCATAGCAACTTGGGCTGTATCCTTTGTTGCGGTCGCGAATTGTAGCTGCTGCAACCTCCCTGACGCGATGATCCTGCCGCATGGCTTCCACTTCCAGTGCATGGGCCAAGGCGTCCTTAAGCCTCTCATGGTGCCCGAGCCTCACAGCAGCTCTGACTTGCAGGTCGCGGATGCCGTCGATGAATGTCTGCACCAGGTTCCCTTCAATGAGCGCAGGTGCAGACCGGTATGCCTTTTCGCACCAGCTTCTCCTCTAGAGCCCACTGCTGCAGGTTTTCGTTGATGCGCTGCACACGATCTTTAAGCTGCGCACGAAAGACGTGTTCCAGGTGAGCGTCACCATATCTCGCCTCCAATGCCTCAAGGAGTTGCTCATAAGTCACTTCCTCACCGAGAGCTTCCAGGACTGTTAAGGCCTGGTCGCGCAGGCCTAGTGTGAGAGCAGTCATGGCCTGACTTTTATTCCAGCCGTTCGCCTTCATAACAGCCTCGAACTGGATTTTGTAGGCTGACCAGGAAGAGGTACCGTCGAAGGGTGGCACCTTGAACCCACGTAGCGAAGGTGTTGTAGCTACTACGGGAGCTGTAGCTCCATCTCCAAGTTTGAGTTCGTCCAGTGATTTCTTCATGTCAGCCATTACGTTGTCAACCCGATTGTTTACTTGGTCGATTCGGGTTTCAGCTTTCTCGATTTGGGTTTCAGCTTCCGACAGGCGTTTGTCATGCTGAGCAACCCTATCCTTCACCTCCTTTATCTCCTTCCCGAAGGTAGCGTGAAGGTTCTTCATGAGGAGCATCTGTTCCTCCTGTCGGCGGGCCTGTTGCTCTTGTCCGCTCTGCAGCTGCTCTTTCCACTGACGGACCTATTCCTCCTGTCAGCGACCCTGCTCCTCCTGTCGGCGAGCCTGCTCCTGCAGCATCACCATCAGGGCGCCTAAATCAGGTGCTGCAGATGCAGGAGCTACTGACGAACCGGCCTCCGTTGCCGGCGGCTGGCCCTCCGACGTCTGCGGCGTTGCACCACCAAATCTTCTCTGGTCCGTCTCATGCTGGCGTTGACTGCGGGTACGAACACCCTCCGTTTCCTCCTTAGGTAAAATCGGCATGATTTTATCCCACTTCTGACACCAATTGTTACGAGCTTGAGTTTCGTGACAATAAAAATTGCCGATAAAATTACCTAAATTAACACTTTAATTTACTTTACACAAATTAAATTTAAAAACACTAATAATTAAACACACTTATTCACTTTATTCCGCTCCGAAGCTTCGCTTGTTTCGCCAAATCAAAACTACCCGATCGCATCTTGCAGCGCCTACTTATATAAATTAGCAAAATATCCAGAATGTTCAAGTAAACACGCGCAAGGTACCAAGAGTTCGAGTTTTAAACTTCAAGAAGTTTAGTTCTTTGGTTCGAGACTAGATGGCGCTAGTTCGCCGATTTTAGCGCGTAACAATACGGATTGTTACATATTTTTTTAACAAGTGTGCTCCGTTAAATTACTCTTATGGATATTTTTTAAAAATTAAAGTAAAAATTTATCGATAAAAATTCGGGATATATAAATATTACAGCTTAACAACCATTTAAGGTAAAAAAAAACTGATGAACGCTCCATATCCCATGCCTCTTCTAGTTTCTAAAGGGAGTTTTGGAGAAGAAAAGAAACCACGTAGCTCAATTTCTATTTTACTGACTACACAAGTCTTGCAAATTATTTCTTCACAGACATGCTGGTGTTTATATCATAAGAAATTTGATAATTTTAAGTAAAATAACATTTTAGAAAGGTCTCATGATTGGAAACAGACTTCCTTTTATTTCCTCTTCCTTTTCTTCTTCTTTTTCTTCTGTCCCTTAAATTATTTAGCTTCACAAACATGCCAATTTCTAAACATTGTTTTCCTTACTGCCAATTTTGCAGAAAATGAGCACCTAATATTTCCGTTAACAAATTGAGTAGCCTAATATTTCCGTTAAAAAATTAAGTAGTAGTGGCGAAAGGAAATCTTCATTGACCATGTACAATGAAATTGTAAAAGGGAACCGAGCATCCTATGAATTCTATGAACAAGAATCGATGAACATTAATACGTGGTAGAGCCATGCTGCAATTATATTAGTAGTATAGTTGTAGCACGAATGGGTCGGCTCGACCGGGGAAGGACCACGCTCTCACGGAATACCAGCGTGAAATAGTAGCATATCGCTGCTGTGTTTCGTATGGTGAGTGTAGAGACCGGAGACCTTTTTTACTGGAAACGAGGCATTCCATCACACGGGTACAACGCATCTGCATTTTTATTCGTAATCAAGGATAGATGTAGATGTCTATGGGCCGCAGCAACTACTTACCATCAGGTGGATTGTGTGCTCCTTTGTCACCCTATCCTATATAAAAAAACATTATAACATTGATCGGATTCGAAATATGTAACATCAATTTTGTTCTCTAAATTTTATAAACTTACCAGCAACACAACGAAGTTCTGCCGAATCGTCAGTCAAGTTCAAGGTGGAACAATTAGTTGGTGAGTCAGGTTTTACGGCTGGTAATAATGTATATCGGCACGGTTCAATTTGCTGGCCAGCAAGGTTTGTTGCTCTGCACGCTAGAGATCCGTAGTCCGTGTCCGCAGTTGGTGTATATGAGAGAATGGACCGGCCGGTACTATCTATTGTGAACTTTCCCTTTTTGAAAAAATTTCAACACAATTAATTAATTATTTATTCAGTTTTTTATTGGTAGACAATGTTGGAAATTCAAAAGGAAAACAAATGTACAGAGACACTGCGTGTTTCATATTGAAATTTCTTACAGCAGGCCTATTTTATCAAAGTTACGAATAATATTATAGCCAATACCAAAATATTTTAGACCATAATTCTTTTAATTAGTTACAAAATGTACGATATTTTATTAAAAATTTGAAAAAAATGTTTCCTGTTTAAAATCTTTTTTAGAAATATAATTATTCTTTTCAACTATTTTAGTCTTTAATGCTGAATTTGGAATAGGAATAATCCTCAAAAGCATCTTGTATTTGTCATTTCTTTTTTATTTATAATTTTTTTAAATAAATTTCAACAAATGTGAAACAAACTGTTGTTGAAAACAGTCTGATTATGCTTTATATGTTTCTACCACTGTGATATATTAGCAGAATATTTAAGACAACGTTTTATTCCGTTTCATATTCATTACGGAAACGGTTTTTCATTTTATCAATATCAGTTATATTTATATATAAATACTTTTCTTTTTACTTAGACTGTCAATGTTTAAAAAAATTAAAATTAAAATTTATTATATATTTAATTCGCTTAATGAAACTTCAATCAATAACATACTTATAAATCTCAAAGGTATTTAGAAATACGAACATAACTTCTTGTCAATACATACTGGTTCTAGCTCCACAGTCCCCATTGTATTGTTAAGCGTCCACTGAAAATTTTTCGGTGCAGGAAAAGCGTCAACTTCACATTTAACGTTCGCTGCTTCATTAATAGCTGCACCTATGATGACGGTCTGACTATTTTTACAAATGGGTTTATCTGTAGAAAATGAACAAAAAAAAATATTAATAATTGCAATTTATCATTATATATTTTTTTTAATTCAATAGAATAACGGTAAAAGAGAAAAATCTTTGAAAAAAAAAAACTATAAATCACAGATACAGTAAAAATAAAGTTAAATTTTGTAATACACTTTATTTACAGATATAGGAAATATATTAAAAATTTACCTACAATGTGATACTAAGTTAAAATATAAAAAGAATGTAATATACCATATATTGTATTTATTAGAAGTTAAATTGCCGAAACTAAGCTTGATACAAGACTTTTTCACAAACTTCACGATTCCTACAATTGTTGTTTTACAAAGTACCCAAAGCTTTGGGATTGTGTTCAATGAGGCATTCTAGTTGAAATAAATTGAGCTCTTACAACGCTTATTTATCTCATTGTGTTATTGACTATTTGCAATTCTTAAGCCTAATGTAAAAACAAATATAAATACAAGTTTATACACTTTTCATTAATTTGGTTGTTAGAGAGAAAATGTGATATTTCTATCTAATAATCATCATCAACTACACCCTAATAACAGAAAACGAGATCTGACGAATGAAGTTGCTGATAAGAATCAACAATATTATACTACCTGTACATTCGTGCACTATAGGTAATCATAATTTATGTTTTTTATTTTTTTATTTACATAGAGAACTTACAGCAAATATACAAAAATAATATAATTATAGTAAAAATGAAGGCCATTTACAAGTTTTCACTTATATAATGTTTCATATTACAAAATAGCGTCAGAAGACATATATAATATGGGTATTTGGGAAGTAACAATACATTTAACTATAAGGAATCTTACCAAAAAAAAAGAAGTTGTTAAAAAGAGAACACTGGAATTTAATAAGTCAATATCCACGTTGTACATGTGTGCTGTAGCCTTAAAAGATCAGCATGATCGAATAATAAAAGAGTTTTTTCTATAATTACTTTTCACGCTAGATACAGATAAAAGTGTAGGTTTCCGCAAGCCAGGCAATACAGGGCAATCTACCAAATAAAATAAAATAAAAAATTAACATAGAGTAGTGGAATTTCTTACAATGTCACACACGGCTCCACACACATATCTTTATTTTGTCGACCATTAAAAGTATTATTATTACTTAGTGAGTGTCATTTTTACTGTTTTAGTTTTTAGTTCCATGAAATACTTTAAATATGTCGTAAAATAGGGTAGTTTAATGATATAACTTTTTTACGGGTTGGATTTAGAATCGTTTGGCAGGAATTTGGGGGAGTAAGGTATTTTATTTGGTAGAGGTTTGATCCCCGATTATAATAATACCACTCCCATTAAAAGGTAATGCACCGTTCTTGAGAAAAATCAAAAAGAATATCCCATAGAACTAACCTCAAAATCATAACCCAAAATGAATGGGGATGGGAGGTGGTGGAGAGGGAGGCTGGGGTGTTGTAGAGTCGCCAAATTCCTGCCAAACGATACTAAATTTCAACCCTTTTCTACTATTTTATATTGTAACTTAATTATGATTAAGCTCTATGTAATAAATATTGTTACATTTATATATTGTGTTTTGTAATATTTAATAAACTCGGTTCTGTAAATTCATTCTACAGTCAAAATATTTTCTCCATTGCCAAAACAGGTATTATATCCATTTGTGAACGACGTACTGTACACTAGATATGAAAAATAATTTTCGATATTGATATTGGTTGCGCATACTACCAGTGCTACATTCTGTGTCGGCGAAAGATGCCATTTCATCATCTTACGATCTTATTATTATCTTTTTTTAAATTTTCGACAGTCATAAAAAGAACTCTAATAACTTCGTTAAATCCATCTGCCCGAAATCAGAGCGTTATAACATTTTGAATTTTAAATAAATTGTGTAATATGAACATTGAAATGCAATCTAAAGTCAATATCATCTTTATTATTTATACACTTCGCATTAATCTCCATGTTGTTCATGTGTAAGAATATCCACTACAACAAAATCTGTCAAGAGAAGTAAGAATATCCAGTAGATGTCGTATGAGGCGACATAGGGAAAGGTGAGGGTAGCAGCATCTTTCTTATAAGAACTCAGAATAATTAAAAATTGTGGTTGTCAACCCGTCTATCAAACGAGGCAATTAAGGGAAATATCCGCCTATCTTACCCTTCTTTAGTTGTTGACTTTAATAGGTTTTAACATAACGTCCCGGCTTCTGGGTGGAATGTATTAATATGGTTCATTACAACTATCAATTACCATTTACTTCACAATGTTTCAATACCACAAAGAATACTCAAACCTTTTGGATAAACATATAAAGGAAAAGGGAAAGTTTTAATTTCACGTATTGATTATGTGGATTGATATAGAAGACATACATAATTAAATGATCAATATATTTTATGTTGAAATTTATAAGCATTATGTTACTTACATAATATTAAAAGGTTTACAGGAAGAGATCTTCCATCCCCCTCAACATTGGAGGCGGTACACACGTATCTCCCCGCTTGTTCTCTCGACACACCTTGTAAAGCTAAATGCGCTGAGCCTGCTATGACGCCGGCGCGCTGATTGTGCGTCATTACTTGACCCTGGAAACGAAAGATTGTTTTAATAGCTGCTTTTTAATGACTTTTGCGAGGCTGTTCATTTAAAAGTTGATTAGAACATAAAAATATAAAAACTAGAGTATCTTATTTTAAATGTAATATTAAGTTTATCTTATTAAAATTAGTACTTAAACAAAAACCACATAAAGAATCTAACTCGTGTTATATGTGTCCAATGAATTTTAATTTTCATATTTATGTTCAAAATATATTGTAGTTAGTGCGAACTTAGTAACATTAGTTAACAAACTTTGTTTGTTCTACTTGTATGAAACTCACGTCTAAACTGTTGTACTCACGTTATGTTCCCAAACTACTTTGTAAGCTGGAGGATTGGCGCGTACGACACACTCAAAGTAAACGTCGTCACCTTCTTCGATGTCGTTAGGATTAAGCTTGGATCCCAATTGCAAAGCAACGATAGGTACATCTGATAAATAATTAAAAATAATCATGTGTTAATAAAGATTTTGGAATTTTATTGTGTTTTTGTAGATTTTTCATCGCTTAAGTATAAGTAGTAATTGAAAAACCAGTTTAGGAAAATTTATTAAAGCAAGCAATTCTTCTTCATTTTTTCTTCATCACCATCAGATATGGGTCGTAAAAGCAAGAATTAACTTACTACTTATTACCACTACCTTTAACAATCAAAATAATCCTCTGTAAATTTTTATAATATTTTTTATAAATCTAGGTTCCAATCGACTCCACTCGCACTCCTCTTGTTTCCTCAGCCAGCATCGGAATCCTCGGCATCGACATATCGAGTGACGTACAATTTCGTGGTCACTTTGAAGAGAAGGCCAAATTGGCCTCTAAAAAGCTTGGCGAGCTCAGCAGAGCGGGACAGTATTTCATGCAGGCACACCGCCTGCAACGTTACAAGGCGCAGGTTCGACCCCACATGGAATACTGTTCCCATCTCTGGGCTGGGGCTCCCCAGTACCAGCTCCTTCCAGTTGACCGCATCCAGCGCAGAGCGGCTCAAATCGTCAACGACCGAGTGCTTTCCTATCGGCTTGATTCACTGGCACTGCGAAGAGATGTTGCATCTCATTGCATTTTCTTTCGCATATACATATACATATGTATAAAGAGAGTGCTCTGAGGAATTGTTCGGATTAATCCCAGTCACCAAATTCCGTGAACGCACTACGCGGCAAACGTCCCGATACCATCCATACCATCTGGATGCTTGGCGGTCCACCACTGTACGTTTCAAGAGGAGTTTTCTTCCGCGTACAACCTCTCTGCGGAATAGTTTACCAAAAGCGATTTTTCCGGACCGATACGACTTGGGGACCTTCAAGAAAAGAGCGTACTCCTTTCTAAAGGACCGGCAACGCACCTGCAATTCCCCTGGTGTTGCGGTGGATCATGGGCGGCGGTAGTCACTTAACATCAGGTGAGCCCCATACTCGTTTGCCCCCTCTTCTATAAAAAAATCGAACGTACAGTCCGCCTGATGAAAAGAGGCTACTGTAGCCCATAGACACCTGTAAGCAACTACGAATAAAGAAGGCTATAGATTCATTGTCACTTCTGAGGACTAAGATGGAATGCGACACAGCCTGTTATTCATTATCTCACTAAATGAACTACTTAGAATTTTTAATGTCTATTACAATATTGTGCTTCTAAAATTCCAGTGAACAGTTTCGATCAGAATCTAGTTGCACGTTTTCATGAAATATATACATTCCAGTTTTTTTTTCTATTTTAATTTCTACCTCCCTCATAAAATAAAGTTACAACCAATACACGTTCCACAGCTAATCGCAGGCCTCCTCTTTTTTCATAGAGGGTTTTTTTGAAAATTAAAAATAAATCTTGTTGATATTCACAAAGGTGTGACATTTTTTTTGTTTCATTCGTGTGAAAAAAGAAAACTCTTACAATGCAAGTTGAGTGACATAGTGGTCTCAATATTAGTGTGTTCCAGTTTTGCATGAGATGCTCGACAGGTAAGTACGTGCCCATCGTGTTCCATTCGTGGAGTCCATCGCAAAAATGATATTGTTTCATTAAAATCGTCGGAGTTCTGTAAAGAAAGTTATTATTATGATATTTGCATTATAACATTATTATATAAATTTAATTGTATTTACTTATATAATGTGCACATTGGATATTATTAAACAGGTATCATTTAACTAAAAATTTACGTCTTGCCGTAGGATACAGTCTTCTCATTCATGAATTTAATGAAGTACATATTATAAGATCATGACTAACGAACTTCATTCATACGTCTTTTTTAAGAAGTCGCCTTTAAGGTAAGGGTTCCACCCTTAACCAGGTAAAGGAAAAGGTAATGAAATATATATTAAAATATCTATAATTTCATTCAAGAAGTTTTTACATTTAAAAAAATATAACAAAACATGTAAATCGTTACACGAATTATTCTATAAAAGAAGATATCGGTTTACTTATGTTTTTGTGTTTCCTGGTTACCAGGTATAAAGGTGAGCTTGTAAGACTAATCAACCGTCATTTGTTTCTTAATTAAAATACATGAAGTAATAAAATATACGTACGTAGTTTCATTGCGAATATAATGGTTATATCAGATTTCTTAAGCAAAAATTGGCCCAAACAATGTATGTCGAAATTTAAAGGTCAAATTTTAAGAACATGATATTAAGTTTTACAGTTCGCCGTGACCTAGCGCCATAAAGTGGATTTCGTATATTCAAAAAATATATTTTTATAACTCAAAGTGTGCGTGTGAGGAAATTTAGTAATGGAAATTGCCGTTAACAATTCCTTTAGTGCCGATAATAGATAAACTGAACGTTACACGCTCTATAATATGAGGCAAATCTTGCTCATGAATTGATATTAATTAAATGCATGAAATTCTTACGTACTAAAATGAACAACTTTTCATAAGCAATAAAATTTTATTTTCTAAGTACAAGTACAAATAAAAACGTACAAATAAAAATGTAGTGCTCACCATAAAGAAAAATTATTACGTGTTCACCTCTTATCCTCATGGTTAAGATGTGTATTAGTTATATTTTTAATAAATGTATAATATTAAAAACATTATTATTGCTACTGCATACCTTTTGAGGTTCATTAACGATTATTTGTTTATCGTCCATCCACCAAGTTATGATTGCTGGGGGTCTAGCGCCGATAGCTCTGCAAGCAATCACTGCCTCTTGACCAACTGACAGCGGCTGATCCCTCGCCAGAATTTCTACCAGTAATGGTCGCACTAAATAATAACGATTTTTTTAAATGTATTATTTTAAGTGGCAAATGTAAAGGAATTGATATGACGATAGATTTATTTAAGGAATGACGACATTAAATTAAAATAAAGATGAATTATAGCTAGTGAAACCATTACATTATTTTAAGCAAAAATACATGAAATCATATGAAATATCAGTATAAACTTAAAGAGGTAGTTTAATCTCCCGATTTTAATATTAAAAAAATACTGAAATCATTATTAAAGGAAAAATAAGTTTAAATTAGTCGAACTTAATTCGTTTAATAGTAAAAGCTACTTTCAAACAATTTCTTTTTTCTTTTTTGGAAAACGTGTTTTGGAAAATAAATTAATAAGTAAGGGAGCTTTACTATCTTTTTATTCGGAAATATAAATTAAGTTCATATAACGCGATAAAAACCGTGAAAATGTACATTCGTTTATTATGTATTTAATATTACTGCATATGGGGTATTCGCAGTATTTTTTATTGGTAAGACTATTTTTTTATCCTTGGATTATTAATATATACCTAATTTAGTTACGTTAATTGTTATTGAGATATGTTACGATTTTATACACTGCCTCACCAGAAAATTAAATAATATACTTGGTAGAGCCACGCTGCAGCTATAATATAATATGATTGGAGCACGGACTGGTCGCCTCGACCGGTGCAGGACTACGCTCTTACAAAATACCGGCGTGGAATAGCAGCTTAATGCTGCTGTGTTTCGTATGGTTAGTGTAGAAACCGGAGATCTTTTTTACTGGAAACGAGGCATTCCATCTTAGATATTAGGGGTAACAACGCAGATGCGTATGCATTTTATTTTAAAATACTATCGAGGATAGATATATATGTCTATGGAGAACAGCATCCACTTATCATCAGGTGGACTGTGTATTTGATGTTAAGTCGCCCTTATTTAAAAAAAAACATTTGTATTTTACAGCATTTTTGCATGGCGAGCATAATTTTTCACCATCATTATCACAGCCCTTCACAAGTCCATTGCTGAGTACAGGCCTCCCCAAGAAATGCAACAGAGCCCATCGACTTCCTGCATTTCTTACCAATTCGTCACTCCATCTAGTGTGGGGATGCTCTACTTTTACGGTACGAGGCTTCCACTTGAGAACATTTCTTCTTCATTTGTTATCAGTTCTTCAAGCTATATGGAAGAACCGTGGTCTTTTTAACTTACTAATCCGTTGGGCTAATTCGGTTGCTCTGATTCTACGGCGGATATCCTCATTCCTAACTTTATCACGCAGAGAAACTCCGGGCATAGCCCTCTTCACAGCTCGCTGAGTATTATTCATTAGTAGTCCTAACGATTAAGGTGTGTCTTTTTTTTATTAACTTAGTTCAATATTAAAAAAAATATTGCAACAAATGGGTATATTACCCATTGTTATGATATTTATTTAAAAAAACTCCAGCTGACGTAAAAAACATTCATGTTGTGGTGAATTCCCAATAGTCTTGAAAATAGTCTCACAAAAAAGATTACTTGGTAATTATCTTGCCAAGGTCTTACTGTTAGAACCACTGGAAAAGAAAGTTCTCAGTAGTCTTACATATTACATGGGAGTTGAAAACCATATTACTTATAAACATAGAAAATCATTATAAAAACGTTATCAGTGATAACAGATTAGGACTGAGAACAAAATTTTAGGGCCTTCATAGATGTTTTTGAGGGGTTTAAAGTAAAGTATTTTAGAGGTCGCTGGTAAGGATGACTATAATAGGAAAAATAATAATAAAAAGTCATTAGACCTTATCATGTAATGAAATCAGACGATAATTAAGTATAGGTTTAATTAAAACTTTTACCGTCTATAAATAATTAACCAGACACAATAATTTACAGATTACAGATTCATTAATTTAGATACAATAATCCGAAATTAAACTAAAGTCACGTTCATAATAACCTACATAAATTTTGATTAAGAATCAAATGCTAATTTTATTCCATTAGCGGCACATTGCAATTGAAAGTATTATGACAAGACCTACCCGTCTCCTATAAAAGCACGAAGTTACGGTACGAAGTTAAAGTACGAAGTTTGGGATAGCGTGCAGTACCAGTAGAAATATTACGGATTATATTATGATAATAGAGAATAATTTCCTGTTTTCTGGAAAAGCGATAATGTTACGGTAGGACAATGAAACACACAAATAAAAACTAATGATCGCGTTCTGGCGTGTCAGTAAAAAAGACATAAAAGAATTACGTAATCCGCCTTCATATCTGAGATAATCTGCGGCGCGGACAAGCTTGCCGTTTGATCTAGGTTAATCGCTGGGATTTTTCTGAATTTCATTTTACCATCATAGTAAGCTCTAGGTGAATTTAACAGAAAATAGAAATTAGTAAGTCTCAAAGAATTGTCTTAAATATTTTTTCTAATTAAATTTCATTATTTATATGTATAGATATCGCGCATGTATGCGTAGGTATATGGATGTGGAAGAGGCGAGAAAGGTATGTCAGGGTCGTGCTAAATGGAAGTCTGTAGTCTCTGACTACCCCTCTGGGTGACAGGCGTGAGTGTTTATGTATGTAGATATACTAAGCACGATTAAAAAAATTAACATTTTATAGATATATGTAATCTACGATCAAGGGTGTGATTATAACAATTTAAAATAGTGAAAAACTTATAAGAAAAAGAAGGATTTGAAACAATTTCATAGAAAATTCTAACAGAAAGAGTCTTCTCTTAATAGCGATAGTACCTGGATGACCGTGCTTTGCTCGGTTTTTTTTTTAAAATCATGTCAGTCTTACTAATAAAAAAACTGAACTGGTTATTTGAATAAAAATCATGAATGAAATTAGTTTAATTTAAATTTTCTTGTTTTTAAAAAAATACGAAACGGGGCTCGAAATAATAGATTTTCTCATAAAAGAATTGAAAAAAAAGGAAAAAAGTCGGACCGATGACAGGACTCTAACCAGGGTACTATGATTTTAGGACCGCCCGATATCCCATTTGAGCTGTTATAATCATTACCACATTGTCAAAATTTGACGTCTTATATTGTAGGAGTTTTTGCATTGCCTTTCAGGCACGGACAAAAAGACATTTTCTAAAAATGAATCTTAGCTAGATCGATTTATTGCCCCCGAAACCCTTCGGACAGTAAATTTTAATATATATATATATATACAAGAATTGCTCGTTTAAAGGTAATTGTACACGTGGTAGAGCCACGCTGCATATTATCGTTGTAGTACGGGTTGGCTTGACCGCGGAAGGACTACGCTCTCACAGAATACCAGTATAAAATAGCAGTTTAATACCATTTTTCAAAACCTGTAGAGATCCTGAGACATTTATTACTGGAAACGAGGCATTCAATCTTAGTTATCATGGGTGACAATGCATCTGCGTTTTGGTTCTTAATTGAGGATAAATGTAGATGTCCATTGGCCACAGTATCCACTAACCATCGATGGACTGTTCGTTTGTTACCCTTACTCTATATAAAAAAACTAAATTTTAACTTTGTTTTTGATTAAACTGAAGAGATCAATGAACTAAAAGGCCACCTGACGGAACAGCTGCAGCCCATGGACACTTGAAGGCAACTTCTTGCAAAGCACAGCACAGTGATTAAACGCCTTGCAGCCTGTGGTTGGCTATCTATACCAGTTACACTGGAACACAACCGTGTAAGCACTGCTATTTGACGGCCGAAATAGGTAAAACTCCTAGGCAGAAAAGGAAACCTACCACCTTGTAAATATAGTTTTGCATGTTAGATACGACAGAGCTACTTCCAAATTCGCCGGAAATTATATTATGCTAATAAACAGTGAATATATTTCTATGATTAATTACATACTACTAAAATTAGGACTAATGAGTCAAATAAATAAAAATGCAAAATAAATATAAGAAATCATAGAAAATGAAATTGTTACATAAGAAATGAATGATTTTTGATATCAGCCTAAACGAACTTTTTTTATTGTCTGTAAAATCCAAATTCTATCTACAAAACAGATATCTTATAAAAGATAAACAGTTAAAACATTTTTGTTTTGTTCTGTTGTTATTTATGGGTAGCTGTAACATGGCAATGGGTTACTGTACGATACTTAAGCAATCTTTCACCTTCACCCTGACCTGAGCCCAGAATTCTGTTTCATGAGTTATGTTCTGAAAATTTGTCAACACTCTCATTAGTTATGTGTACAAATAATTTAAGCAGTTATTAAATTATTTGAGACATTGTCAAATTTTGTATGAATATATTTATCTAGAGGTAAATTTCGGTAAATATCTTTATCTTGAAAATTGTGTTGGTCTGACGTTTTGCGCTTATTTCCCATTCCTTCTCTTTGTCTTTTGTATTACACTTCTTTTCTGTTTGTCTTTTATCTTTTCAAACATTTTACGAACCAACTTCGAAAAACGAATAGGTTCTATATTCGATGCGTTTGTTTCTCTAATTAATAATCACAAAATTCTCAAAAATGACCGAATCGATTTAAATGATTCTTATTTTATAAAATACTGTTTAGGTTCAATATGAATATTTAAAAAACCCTTCCCTAAGGGTAGACAATTTAGAGGATGGCAAACTTAATGTAACCATACGTAGACAAAATTTCAATTGTAATCATAAACTTGTGGTGTAACTTTGTCCACTCAAAAGGGCAAAATACTTGAACTTTTAATCAGAAGTAAAAGCCAACTTCAAAGACTTAGAAGTCAGGGCTTTTTTTATACAGGAAATCTCAGCGTCGATTTCAGAAATTACCGTGTGGAAATCATTTTATTCTTTTTAGGTTTTTAAGACAGTTTTTACTTTCATCCATACCTTTATTAATCGTTTAATTATTATGTACAATGTTCATCAATATTATAACTAATTTGAAGAAAGCTACCAAAAAAGAATATCCTTTAATTCTACCATAGCACCCGCTATGATTTTCCACTTTCAAGGGTTTGGAACGCCAGTATAATTACAGACTACGCGGCATTACACGTTGCCTTGGAAGCTAGCATGTAGCCTTCTTTACTTAAACTTGATAGTATTTGTGCATTGTGTCGGTAATAGTTGTTTACTACCATACGTACTGTAAGCGGATTTGTACTTTTAATGGTAAAGAAAGTCTTAAAGGAAGCAAAACGTTTTTACGATGAATATTAAGTATACAAAGCAAGACACTCAGACTGTTTTCGCTTTTAGTAGTATGCTATCTTGTTTATCCCAGGCGTAAAACATTAAGGCTGATAGTGCGATGCAATTCAAATTAAAAAAACATCTAATACTCAAACTGCCCAATAATGGGAGACTCATATGTCATACATTAATTAACAAGAAACAACTATGAAGTTATTAGACATACAAAGGGCAGTCACATTAAAAAAACTTACGATAAATCTGAATTTGTACACTTGCTCTCAACGAAGGTACAAGTGCTGTGTTGTCTGCCGTACATGTATATACTGCTTCAAAATACTCTCGCTTTAATTTCGGTATCTTCAGTTCAAGCAAGCTGAGATGCGATCCGTCCTCTACTGGAGCTAATGTTGCAATTACTTTATCGTCTCTCCACCAGCGCAGACGTGGTATTGGTTTACCTGCGGATATAATTAAATTTGTTACTCAGGGTTGCTCTTAAAGTTAATACCCGTCTCTTACAAACCTTCGCTATAATGTCGAAACTAGTAAGTAATTAAAAGTATAAACATGCGTTATCGAAGTCGGAAGTGTGTTATTGTTAGTAGAGAGTAAATGATATATATATATATATATATATATATATATATATATATATATATATATATATATATATATATATAACATTTTTATAGCTTAATATATAACTTTACTGCTATCCAATATCTCCATAGCGTTTTCCGATCGCTTCTTTGCAGACATTAATTGAATTTGTTAAGTTACAATTAAGGATGATTCTCTTATTCTTCTTCTTCTAGACGAAGTATATATTTATATATTTTATCATTCATTATATTACTAGTAATAAATAATAGTTTTTAACCCTAGAAGCCTAATCTATCTCAGAGATACATAAAGCCTTAACATACGCCTCAGAGGCGTGCATATATAAATAACTATTTCTGGCCTAAAGTATAATTATTTGCTATTTTTAAGGACCCGTATGATAGGCATTTATTGTAGTAACCAAACACAGATTCATTAATGGAGACTCTAATCACAGCTATTTATATTACAACAAAATAGAACAATCTGCTCATATTCGAACAAAAAAGTATCTTCTGATTAATCAACGGTAACATCATTTTTTTAACTATCTTATAAGTTTTTTACTATTTCATGACTTTTTATTAGCACAATTATTAAATTAAGTCAGATTTTCACAGACTAGCTTAAAGCTTAGAACAGTTTACTCTCTTTTTTTGTAAGAGCAAAACGTGCAGCATTTACGGTTTTTGGGCTCAGGCTCTCCCTTTTGAACTTCATTACTTGATCAGTAGATTTTACGAGAATATGCCTTATGTATTCTCGTAAAGATATTTTCAAAGTCGGCGCTTCAAGTCTCATCTCCATCCAAGGCTTGGCCAAATCTGTGTTGAGATGCTTCAAGAACTTTCTTCTATGTAGGTTTTTTACTGTTCTTGATCATATTAATTGCTGAAGTTCTCTGAGATGATTGACCCTTGGTAGTCGACCAAACATTCGTTCTAACCGCGAAGTATATTTCCGGAGACAAGTCGTATAAGTCTTGAGATGTCAAAATTCAAGAATTATAGGTTGAAAATGAGCAGGAGTAGATGGATGAGCTGCTGCAGCAGTTGTTGAGACAGTTTCTTCAGTGGAAGCAGATCGTAAAGAGAAGATCTCGTCAGTAACATAATCGTTCTCGTCTTCACTTAGAACATCATCAACAGCTTAATGATCCTCCTCTTCTGACGCTGAACCTCTCAGAGAACCATGATTTTCTCATCTTATATCGCCAAAACATTGGCACTGTTTAGCCGTTTTGATCTTAATATATTTTATCTAAAACAACGTCAATATAACCATAAAAACACAAAAAACTAATAATAGGGTAATCACACAATCTTAGTTAAAAGTTACACAAAGCCTAAACATACGCCTCGCAGGCGTACTACATGTCAATAAGTCAAAATCGGCGGGACTTACCTTAGCGATACGGGCACTATCAGCAGGCTCTAGGACGCCACTGAGTTGGCTAAGCCGCACTAATCGCCAACGTCACCCGTTATAAAAAGATAGACAGTTTTCGAATGCGTGTACACCTCGCAGACGTAGATAAGGCTTCTGTGTTAAAGTAATCTACTTGATACACAAGCGCGGTGAAGCTTCTTTTCTAAAGAGTTTGTAATAATTTCCTTAGCTTAGTGCTGCGGGAGACAGCCCTAACTTTGTAACCGTTTACTTCTGTGTTACTTAAAAATTATTACACCTTACAACTTTTTCATTCATTACGCCTGTAGCGTTGAAGGATTACAAATGAAATAAAATTAAATGGGACATTCCTTTCATACAAACATTGGAGTTATTTTAATTTTCTAGTTGTTATTAAGTAAACATTCCTGCTCATATTCTGATTTGACTCTGTCACCTCCGACGCCAACTGGATCTTATACGAGTAGATATATTATATATAGTTGACATTATTACACCGCCGCCACTAGGTAGACAATTACTCTTAAAAATAATAATAATAATAATAATAATAAATAATAACCTCGAGAACCTCGTGAAAGCCGAAACAGATGAACGAACAAAATATCTGGACCTGGCTCACGAGGTGACCAACATGTGGGGTGGTATGCCGACCGAAATTATTCCTGTAGTCGTCTCTGCGAATGTAGTCGTCTCTTGGGTCATCTGAAACGACTGGGACTCCGTGACGGACCGCTCCGGGCTCAAATGCAGAAGGCGGTGCTCCTCGATACCGCCCGCATCGTCCGCCGGTTTCATTCCCTTTCCCCCTAACCCTCGGCCGTTTGGTCTCCCCTGCCGAGGGCTCTCATCTGGTTGAATCTTATTTATTTATGTAGTTTTTGTATTTATTTAATTTATAATTATATATTTTTATGTAATTTTATATTTATTTTATGTTATTGATATTTATGTATATTTATCTTTTCATTTTCATTTATAATTATATATTTATAGAACCCAATCAGATGAGAAAACTATATAGATACCCCAAAATAATAATAATAAGCTCCCTAAACAACCACACGTCCTGATTGACCATCTAATCACGTGGGGGCGGACACACGAATGAGAAATTACTGGCGTGGCTAACGTGGCTCTGGAAACCCATAAATAAAATGGAGACTCGTTCTAAAAGTAAACGTATAGGGCCGCTACCCGGGGGCGATCGCCGTGGTGCACCTGAAGCTGACGCTGGGTGTCACAGCATGCGATCCGTCAGCGGTGAGGAGTTGAACAGGCGGGCTCCCACCCACAAAGATACTACAGCCGAACTCATTGACGATGGTGACAGACTGACGGACAGGACAGACACCCCTGTAGAACCATATAGTCCAAGCACAGTATCATACACACCCTCGAGGCCAACATCACCATCCATACCATCGTCACTTACACCTCCATCACACCCTATTACTAGTTTAAATACAGTTCTACCTACTCCGATCTTGAGTGCTGCGCGGGAGGTATCTACCTTCTTACCCGCGTCCACCAAGGCTGGAAAAGCAAGAGTTCGAATGAAATGGAGTAAAGAAGTAAATCTATTTATCATGAGAACTTATCTATACATTACTAAATTAGAGACCGATATGACCATGTACAGACAACAATTACACGCACAATTCACTCGACAATATCCAGAAATTACTGTTTCAGAACAAAGAATCTCAGATCAAAGAAGAACCATAGTTAGGAATAAACTTCTATCCCAAGAAGTTATAGATCAATTAAAAGAAGAAGTACGAACACAATTAATTCAAGAAGAAGCAACTAAGAGCTATGTAGAAACTAATATCACACAAAACACAAGTAAAAATGATCTCCAAGTACAACCACAATTGCTCAGTCAATCACAACTTATTTATACACAATCTCAGCCATGCGACCATTCACAAATCTGCACACAAATATCACACATATCCACACAAACCGAAACCGTAATCCTAACGCTATAAAATGACATTGAGACCATAGTTGTCCCAGATCAACACTTAACAACAGATACATATATTCAATAAATCAATGAGAAATTTAGAACAACACTGGGATGGATCCCGCAGCGCGACTAAGATTACCCAAACTTAAGTACACACCTAACCTGTTTTGACTAGTTAATTTATTTAATGAAACTATACTCACACAATATATATCTGATGACACACAACTTATAGACATACATTTACTTATATACTGCACAGCGGTAGTAATATCCGAAGAATTGAACTTTAAAATCACAGACAATGCAAGAACTACAAGAACAAGACAAAATACAGAACCAGCATGGCAACTGAGACTAGAAAAAGACATTGAAAAATTAAGAGCAAACATAGGTAGACTCACTCAGTATATTAACGGATGTAGATCTAATAAACTAGTCAAAAAAGTAGAGGTCATATTTAGGAATAATGCTACGCATACCAGACACGAAAAGAGTAACACAAGACCTGAAGAATTTTAGACACGTTAAAACAAAAATTAGCAGTTAAAATTATAGGCATAAAAAGTTAAGCACAACAGCGCAAAAAAGATAACATCACATTTGCCGCAAACGAAAAATTGTTTTATAGAAACTTACACAAACCACAAACAGATACAATCGATGAAAGTAACACACATACACCTAACCTACCTACAAAAGAACAACTAGAAGCATATTGGGCGAGTATTTGGGAAGAGCAAAAACAACATAACGACAAAGCATCTTGGATAATTGAAGAGGAAGCAAAATGGAGAGATATTGACGAAATGGAATTCGAAGAGGCAACAGAATTAGACATAACACTCATTATAGCTAGGTTACATAATTGGAAATCATCTGGTATAGACAAAATTCATGATTTTTGGTACAAAAAATTAACATCTCTACACAAACCTTTAGCAAGAAATTTAACAGATATAATAACAGGACAACAGAACACTCCCGAATTAATTGCAACAGGAATTACTTATATGCTACCTAAAATAAAAAATTCACCTCAGTTTTCCCAATACCGACCAATTACATGCCTACCCACAATTTACAAAATATTGACATCTGCAATCACAATGAAAATTCAGTCGCACATTGAACACCACAAAATAATAGCAGAAGAACAGAAGGGATATAGACAGGGCCACATGGGATGCAAAGAACAGCTGATAATTGATTCCACTATTCATAAACACGCCACCTCTAAAAATAGAAATTTACATTGCACCTATATTGATTATAAAAAACGTTTGACAGTGTTCCTCATTCATTGTTATTAAAAATATTAGAAATTTATAGAATAAACCCGAAAATAATCGATTTCTTACGCCGAATAAAGTCACAATGGAAAACAACAATACAAATAAATTGTAACCAAAATACTGTCACCACGTGACAAATCTCAATCACAAAAAGGCATCTACCAAGGTGACTCCC